ATTATTTTCTTAAAATTTTATATCCTTTCTTTCTTTATGAAATCTAAAATACTTTTTTTTATATAGTTTTATTTTCTTTTTTTTTGGATGACTAGCTTCTTGTAATTTGATTATAATAATATAATTATGTTTTTATTATTAATATTATTTTTAAATTTTTAGTATGAAGACTGGCAATCCTAAGTAATCTAATATTCAATTAAATTTCAATCTGAAATTTACTTTTGAAGATTTTTGAAGTAAATAGTTGACCCGGGTCTAAGTATTAGTCCAACATGTTTATGTATTCGGTGCAAAAAGATTATAATCATACTGGTCTTATTAAACCTATTCCTCATTGGTCTTTTATCTTTTTTCTTTCAATATTTATATACAAACGCTCGTGTAATCTGTTTAATGCTTGAGTTTTCCAATCACAATATTTACTTACTGTATTATATTTGTTTTAATTTTTCCTATTACCTTTTTTTATACATTATTTTCGGGTGATTTTTATAAAGTTATTGAAACATTACATACACAAAGATGTGCAACTTCATGTCAAACAACAATCTACTAATGGGATTTAATATGTGCAGTATAACTTTAGAGAAGTCAAATAACCTAAAAGAACAACTAAGCTCAATGAATCAATATGACCATGAATCTACACATATATCTAATGTAACTATACAAGTTAACATGATTTCTTTAACAAAAAAAGAAAAGAAAAGAAAAGAAAAGATTGGTAAATAAAATTATGCTTTATTATTGTAACAATGTGTCAAAGACGTGATCAAAACATTTATTTGCATAAGCTGGACGGTTGCCAAATCAGACTCAGCTTTAGATTCTGCAAAAAGAAAACGGACATGTTTTTATGTATAAACTGCAGGTGCTTCAATGCATCTAATGGATGAAATTACAAATATTCCCACAAAATCTGTGATTTGAGCTGTATAACAGCATTTTGTCATATTTGCATGCAAATGATGATGGTTGAAAACAAGTTATAATGTCTGAATGAGAGGATTCATTTAATTAACTAATTAAAACTAATATTCACAAAATAAAAATAGTACATTATTCATATATGTCTCTCTCTACATATACATATAAGTACATGCGAGATACAATTGATCAAAGTAGTAATTTGCAAATCATCAGTTATAACATTTCTTATACAAAAGCATGCATCTCCCATTTTTAATAATAACATTATATATTTTTTATTCTTGAAAACGAGGAAATAAAAATCATGTATACAAAAGCCTACACATATACAGAAGGTCAAAATTATACAAAGTAAAGACATCTCATCATCTAATTATGTACCAATTCACAGCTTAGATGTATCAACCAAAAAGCAAATAAAACTGCCAACAAGCATAATATACGGTTTCCAATTATTTACCTTCATAGATGAATAGAAATAATACTTAAAAAGCACCGTTTTGCACAAACCCATGTAGCGTCTTCTTGTGAAAAAAATATCGCTTTTTAGTACACAATACAAGTGTCACTTATTTTGAAAAAAATAATAATAAAAATAAAATTAGAGGGCTCTTTAAGAGGAAGCAACTCACTTGTTCAATGCAGAAGCATTCGCCGCATTCTGTCCCGGTCAACACTAGTTTCAACATCCCCCAATTGGCACGAAGGCATTCCGAATTGATATCGCCCTCACTATTTAATGCAAACAGTATTTAATGCAGAGGGGGAAAGCGGGAGGGAGGGTCCAGCACAAAGAGTATAGAGGACGGGACCAAATATCATCCGCCAGGGGACGTGACGGCGGCAGCCAGATCTGACGCCAGTTGCCGCAACACCCATCCGCGAGGGAGCGAGTCAGGGACGAGGTGAAGAGCTGCTGATGGTGCGTCGCGCGTGTTGCCTCGGCGGCCTGCGAGGACGCGAGTCGCCCCTCAGCTTCGACCTGTCCCCACCCCATCGCGTGCTATTAAATAGCGCCTCTTCGCTAATGTGCCAGTGCCCGCGACCACCACCTATCGCCTTGTGACACGGCCGATTGTCTCTCCAAGGAAGCGAGATCGCCGCGCTCTGGCAGGTCATTCATCCCTTGAGTTAAATCCGTTGTATTGTGGAGTCGACGACGACGAGCTCTGTTCATTGCGCGTTGCGTAACCTCACGCTGATTCGCGCTGGTCATCTGCTGTTGCTGTTGTTGTAGTCGTTGTTAGTTGGAGTAGGCAGACGTCACGAGAGAGGGGGTTGGGCTTGGCGCAGATCTAGACTGGAATGCCGATCCCACCCAGCCTCGCACTTGGATTGTGGTGGTGTATGGGATTCTGAGGTGGGGGTGGTGAGGTGAGGTGCTTCGTTTGTGGGCTGAGGGAATTGCCGAGACTGAGTTCATGGAAGGCAAAATGTGGAATTTGTTGTGGACTCTGGCGGTGGTGGTGGTGTCGGTCAGTGGAGCTGTGGAGGGGAAGCAAGTAAGCGAGAAGGAGAATTGGATACAGAGGGCGGCGGATCAGGTGAAGTGGCTCCCCGGGCAGCCGCCCGTAGTGTTGAACCAGTGGGCGGGGTATGTGAATGTTGGGGAAGATGTTGGCCGGTACTTGTTTTACTTCTTGAGCGAGTCGCCGAAGAACGCGAGTGGCAAGCCGCTGGTGCTGTGGTTGAATGGAGGTACATCGCTTCACGCATTCCTGCTAGTGAATACACCCGGACAATGCAGTTGAGTCCACGATCGAACGGACGTTGTGGCTATGAGTCGCTACTCATGACGATGTGAAGTGAATTGCGGTGATATGGTTATGATCTCTTCTGAGGGTGCTTCAGACTGTAATGTAGTGTGATGCTGTGAGAGATACAATGCTGCGATTGAGCTGTCGAAGCTTCACGGTTTTCCTTAGGATTTTGGCACAATGTGGGAGTCGGTGGTTCGCGACACGCCGCATTGTCCTCTCTCCACAAAACTGTCCAATTGCAATGGGCACAGCAGTATAGGGGATATGTGTGTTCTTGACGATGGATGAGAAAGTGAGACACTACAATCGAAAAACGTTCTATTGTGGCCCTGTTGGCGATGTTTAAGCGATTGTGGAGCCCGATGCTATGACACGGCTTTGGATTGATCATGCGTAGTCCAAATTTTGGATTTATGGCATGTGTTTATGTGGTTTCGTTGTGCTTGAGTGCAGGTCCCGGATGTTCGTCATTGGGCGTAGGATGGGCGCTAGAGATGGGTCCCTTTCGCGTGCGAGAGAATGGCACCGGCCTCGAAACCAACACACATTCCTGGGTTCGATGTAATCTGGCATACCTTCACATTGCCATGAATGAACTCTGCTGCGATTGCCAAAACGTTCGTACCCGCAGAAATGTGTGATAGTTGGGAAAGATTAATCCAGACTTCATCTTCACTTGGAAGTTTCATGGTCGCACTTACAATGTGATCCTGTTTGCAGATGCTAATGTCTTGTTTTTGGAAACCCCTGTTGGTGTTGGCTTTTCTTACTCTGACGACCCAAAGGAGAATCATTCTAGCGGTGATTCGATTACTGGTAATTCTATTTACAGCCCCAAAACCTGAGATCAAATTCTGTGTGCTGTTATTTAATTTGGAATAGAGCACTGTACTGAGGTATGAAGTGCTTTTGCTGGATTTTCGCTCATTTTCACAAGGACATGTTATGTCTGTTGTTGTCTGAATGCTCATTTGTCTTGCAAAATGGTTGCAGCTGAAGACAATTATATGTTTTTGTTGAGGTGGTTGGATCGGTTTCCTGAATACAAGGACAGAGATCTCTATATCACGGGAGAAAGCTATGCCGGTAGGTTCTATGTCTTGTGTTAGATGAACCACTGTGACTGATGGGCACATTTCCTTCGGGTGCGGGAGTCACGCATTCTGAGGCGAGCTACAAGCTTTTAGCGATATAAGTGCGAAGAGAGACATGCCTGTCTGTACAAAATGACTTTGTTGTGAGACAAAACATTGTGCAGTTCCACCTTCCTCTTTTTCCTGTATTTTTTGAAGCTACGAAGATAGTAGTGGCTGTAACTCGTTATGGACGGATCAGATTAAGAATGCTCACGGAAATAATCGCTTTAGGATACACATGACGCAGTCGTTTTTTGGGTTTTGTTTTGTTTCGTTCTGCGTGTGTGTAGCATAGCTTGCATCCAGCAAAGTTTATTTCTCTAACATTCCTGTCCGTCATTTGTAGGTCACTATATCCCTCAATTGGCTTCACTGATTCACCAACGTAATAGAGACTCTGAACAGAAAATCAATCTAAAGGGCATGATGGTACGTACTATATTTTAAGTAGTTTACAGAAGGATTTGCAAGGTTCCATATACTTCTACCGCATTATTCATACTTCCACTCATTAACCTTCGTCAGACTAAATCTGTACTCACTTTCCGCAGGTGGGAAACCCATCGACTGACCAGTACTACGACAGTATAGGCACCATTGATTTCTGGCTAGCTCATTCTATGATTTCTCCTCAGACTCACGACCAGTTCATGAAGGTTTGTAACTTCACCAATTGCTGTTCGCCCCAATGCAACGAGGTGTATAACTATGCTCAGCAAGTGGAGATTGGTGGCATTGATTATTACGCCATCAATGCGCTTGCATGTAATACCGACCAAAATGGCAATCCACTGCGAAGAAGACTTTCCCAGGCCTTTAAAGCCACGACAAAGAACAATCCAGTACGTGACCAATTTTGTCCATGTACTTTCCGTTCCTTTTCTATAACCTGTTACTTGTGTGTGTGTGCGTGTGTACACATACATACATTCACACAGATGGCTGTGCACTTCAAGATATTAACCGATTGATTCGGGTGGGGTGCAGTTTCTTGGGTTTAGAGCTGGATATGATCCTTGTGTGTCAAACAGTCCTGAGATATATTTCAACAGGAAAGATGTACAGGAGGCACTTCATGCAAATGTGTCCGGTGAAATACCATACAACTGGACATCATGCAGGTGATTGTTTCCCTTCCGTTTTAGTGTTCGATACTCAATATTTTCTGTAGATTGTCTGATCATTCATAGTAAGTTAACCGCTGAAAGGTTCAGCGTAATTTCCATCAGTTGCGATTCTTCAAGCCTGGTTTCAGATTCAATGACTCACGTGTGCGTGTAGAGCATATTATGAGTATGATGTTACTTGTCGAAACTATTGTTAACATCAGCAGACTCAAAATATTACGTCGGTGCGGGGAAAGTAACACCAACACGAGACCATGTCTTAAGCACTAGTAGGGACGGTAGAGTCGGAGTCAGCTATGTGGATCACTTCTTCCCATGTGTTGAAATATACTTTATCTCATTCTTCAAATTGGCATTACAGCATGGACTTGAGCTGGACGGATTCAGCCACCACAGTTCTTCCTTTGTGGGAGGAACTTATTGCAGCGGGCTACAAGATCTGGATTTACAGGTCTAATTCAATCTCTTCACCCAGTTGTGGATTTTATTTATTTATTTTATTTTATTTTATTCCAATCTCCAAATCATTAGATGGGACGTTGAGAGGTCCAGTATTTGTTATTGAAATTATAATATATAGGTCGTTGCACCCTACGCCTCTCAATTCTTTTATTCTACCAACATGTGTGCAGTGGAGATAACGACGCTGTTGTGCCGGTGACTGGGACTATATATGCCATTGAATCCTTGAACTTGCCAATCACCAACCGTTGGTATGCTTGGTATCATAAAACACAGGTAGTGTACCTTCTTTTCTACAGTATCGATTTCGATTTTTGAGTTTTTTTTAAAGATCATAGTTAATGACCGATCTCGAATCATGGAAGTTTTAGTACTTCTTGTGTAGGATTTCAGTTCCCCCAACCCTTGTCTCTGTTACCCAATTGCAACCTTAGCACCCCCATGTCAAACTCGATTTCTTAACATGAACTTATAATGCTGTCTTAAGTTTTCTCTTTGTTCATTTTTGCTGGAAACAGGTAGCAGGCCGCACCCAGTGGTACAAAGGAGTGACGTTTGCGACAGTTCGCGGTGCGGGGCACGAGGTTGCTGTCACGCAGCCAGGGAGGTTTTTAGCCCTCTTCAAGTATTTTTTGGCAGGAACAGAGCTACCTCCTGACCCATAAACTCAATTCATTCGATTGCTCCCGTGTTTTTAAACCCGCGTGAAGACCTGAGATTATGTTTTGGAAAGCGGTGAGAGCACTTATGAAATGAGTGCTGCACCATGCAGTTGTGATTTGTTACTGAACTCCCTTGTTAACCGAGGTTGCTGCTGAAGCTTCGTAGATGCTGATGAGCACTGGAAGTTTTATTCCGAGTTCATTTCATGCACTGGCTTCATCATTAACCTATGGTTCAGTTTGTGAGAAAAATAGAATCCGCTCTATCCAAAGGGGATAGCCATTGTTAGATGGGACATTGCCATGCTTGAATAGGCATTAGCTAGGCTTTTCACAAATTCTTGTACTCTGGAATTCTTCTTTTATGCTGAAACAATTGAGCCTTGTAGGTGGTTTTTGCCACCACTGTTTTGTTTTGTTGTGGTGAGGCAAGGCGTGCAAGTTCTCATGCAGTAAAGTGTTGAGCTGAACTTTTGTTTGAAAAATGCATCCATCTTACAGTTGTTCAGACAACCTTACATTGTGGAGATGCCAGCTTGTAGGTCCGTGTTAATCCAGACTAATTTCTCTTCAATTTTTAACTGCCACAGTGCGTGAGAACTGGCATATGCTTCTTTCTTTTGTTGATGGTCACACCATGCTTACACCTCCTTTTACTCCATTTATAGCTTATGTCGAACCTTCTCTTTTATTTCCAGGACCTCACCTGGATAAGAGAAGCGAACAATGTGCCAGTGGTTTATGCTTGTCCAGTACATGTTTATAGCTACATCTATCTATACTAATCGACAATGCACCATACAAGCTGCAGACTACATGAAAGACTTGGACTTGATAACTTGGATTGAAGAAAGGAATTTGTGTTGATTTATTCTAGTGAGTATTAAGTGCTAGAATTTGGTGAAAGTCGCCAAATGTTAGTATTTGGTTGTTCGATTAACTAGTGTAATTGAACCTTCGGTGTTAGTACTCATAGCATGTTCTTCTCACGCATTGAAGGTATCTCAGCATTTCAAATTAGTCCAGGGACATGGTGGCAAATTTCAATGATTAGATCAAGCTTTCAAAGTAACCTGAAGTACCAACCTACTGTACACTAATATTATTACACCTTCATACTGAATTTGTATAAGTATGGTATAAGTATGTTTTCAGCGCTGTATCCTAGCTCAGTATTGATGCTCAGTGCATCACTATTCTGAACGCAACCCTTCAAACTCACCTAAAGTTGGGGGCTTAGTTTGGAGGAAGTGATGGAAACCTAGCAAATCAGGTGTGGGAATTCAAGTCCCAACATATGCACTGTCATGTGATACTTTAAGCACACTTTTCAGTCACAGTTCAAACGTCACAAATTCCACATTATGGATTAGATCGTGGAAGTCAGACTGGATGGGACTGTGTTCACTGAGAGTGTTCACTTTTGCGAGGCTTTTCTCTGCTGCGACGAGAAGCTTTGGATGGACCAACTTAAGAAACAGTTTCCGATGCGGAAGCTTCGAATCACTTCTCACTAATTGACAGGGGTAGATCGTAGCGGAAACAGAAGTGCTGTAGCAGGGTGAAATTTAGAGATTCTTACTTAGTGGTCGGTGCTGGGATTTCAGCCGATAAGTATGTGATCTAAGGTCTTCTTCCCCACATTCTTCTGAATTCTGAAAAGCTTGCAGCTGGGGCAGCGGAGGGTCACATTGGCACTTTGATTACACAATGATCTGAGGAGAGGTCTGCGAGCACTCACTAAATGCTCGATTATTGCAACCCAGATGTGAAGTTGGGGCAGGGCGAGCGCTTTGGGTTCCGAATGAGGGAGGTTGGAACATAGTTTTCTTTTTGTCTTTTTCTTTTTTGACACAGCCGGGGTATACCCTATGCATTGACTAGTGGGGGAGTTGGAACGGAGTTTTGATGTGCGGACCATCCACACTGTGAAATCGGTATGTGCTCTATATTCCAGCATTTGCTTTGTCGCTTCCAGGAACCTTCTCTGTACTCAATGGAATCTAAAATTTGACCAGGTGTGAAATAGGGCACAATCCGTATGCTTGTGGGGCATTCCTAAGTCCAACTTCTCGATTCTCAAAGGTGTTCCCATGTATAGATGGCAGGCTAAAATGTTTGATTCTCGTCGTGCACCAATCCCTTTTTCTCCCCTCTAGTTGCATTAGCTTCTCACAGTGTTTCAGTAGCTCTTTCTAACTACCTTTTTCTTCACAGCAATTGTTTCCAGCTTTGAAAAGATCGGGGAGGGTCTGTAATGAGTCGTAAATGGAGTCCTAGACTTTGACGTTTTTTGAGGTGCCACTATTGAGAATTTGTCTAACCGGTTTCTATAGTGTTAAATTGATTACCTCGAAATTGCTATTGATCAATCGTGCTGTGAGCTTAGTACTTTTGCAGTGTTATTTGCAATTTTTATGAGAGTATTGTTAGAGAGTGAGCTTTGCTACAGTGTATAAACTTGTTTTGCACTTTGATCATTCATGTATTTCCGACAGATAGAGAAGAGAATCAACTGATGCAGCATCTCAGATCTAATTCATTATTTTTAAGTAGATCTGTGGAGATTGCCATGACAAGCATGAGCTCAAGTGGTTCTAGTCTAACAATTCAGGGGACAAAATCTCGAGCTCTATTTGTGGCAGTCATTTCGTTTTACATAACTCAGTCCGCTGCAATAACAGATGTGTACAACAGCACCCTGTTGAACCAGCCTGGAGTAGTTGGGGTTTGGAGATGGAACGGCAAGGATAAGTACAGGCCTCCCTCCGACTTCCGCGATGAAACCGCCCGCAATTTCTACAATCTCTGGCCAGAAGACAACGACGACTATCCCTTCAGGTTTCCTTGCGAGGACAGGAAATCCAGGCTGATGCTGAGTAATTTCACCTACTCCATGAATGAAGGTCTCGTGCAATCCCTGTTATACCATGATCTCGGCATAGTCGATCAATATCGACCGTACTGGCGAAGACCTACGACTTCCTGCTTTGGTTGTGCAACAAATTTGGTGGGATATCCTGCCATATACTGCGAGCGTGGTGATCTTACCTACCTATATTACTACAGGTAGAGGATTGTTGACTCTTTGACCATGTCTTGGTTTGCTATCTGTACTGCGCAGTCACGTCACTATGGGTTTTATTTCTATCTCAGACTCATGAATGCGTTCTGCTGCAGATATTTATTTTTGCCAGTAAAAACAGATGTATCATGGAGTGATCTAATTAAACACGCAAATAAAGCATGCAACTTGGTAATGTAGTTTTCCTGTTGCCAAGTGTGGGAAGGTTGGTCATGTCTTACATTGTTTGTATTAGAGCATTCCTCTAGACTCTCAAAGAGTGAGTGTACCGTAGACATCTGGCTTGATCATATCACCTCGATTGTTGAATATATCAGGGCAAAGAAGACGGTGTTCCAGGGTGTGATTTTCGGCGTCATCATGGTGGTCGTCCTGCAAATTGCATTTGTCACAATTTGTCTAGTTATCCCTTTTTATCTACTACACCGATCACGATCGGAGGGCCAAACCAGGGTCGTAGCTCGCAGTACAGCAAAGCATCTGAAAGACCTTACATGGGGTGGTACATGTGTTGAGTATTTGCATCTCATAACTCTGGGAGCGGCGGGCTACCTTTTAGTTGAAGGCTTCGGCCACAGCGATCCCCACAACTGGCGAGCTTCGATAATGAATACCTTGGCGTACTACTACCGGGTGCAGACAGCTTGTGCATTCGTGTCTTCCTTTCTGCGTCAGTGCGCTAACAGCATGAAGTTGATCTCTGATGGGGAAGGCTTTAAGACAAGCTCCCACGACAAGCACAGGGAAACGCTCATTGGCCAAGTGGTGGTCTGCATAATTATGGTGGAATACTTGTACTTGACCGACGAGCTCTATATGGAATTTATGATCCAAGTAGTGCTTGGTGTTGTCACCGTTGCTGTCACATTTTCAATGAGCGTTGTCATTTTTGTCGGCGGCAAATCGTTAAGGTACATCGTGAAAACTCTTTTGAATAAAAAAAAATCTCAAGTTGCCTTCACGATGGGCCATGATCCAGCTGCAGGTTCACAAACTTCTCCCAGCAACTCGGCTCCGTCGCCGGCCCCCGATCCAGTCGCAGGATGTCCACAAACTCCACCCAGCAACTCGACTACATCGCCAGCCCCTGATCCATCCGCAGCGTTTCCACAAATCCCACCTAGAAGCTCGACTACGTCACCAGCCCCCGATCCAGCCGCAGGATGTCCAAAAGCTCAACTAGGCGTCTCCACTCCGTCGCCGCCGGATCCATAAACGTTACTACGATTAAACTGGATTATGAGAGGAATAATAATATTGCCATAATCTAGGGGGGGGGGGATATATTTTAGAGCTTTACTGTCCTCATTCCAGCACACTTGGTCCCCTCATATCCACCTTTCAGAGCCATGACATGCATTTGTGAAAGATGCCTTTCTTGCTCGAGTTCGCTCTTTCGTAAGATGACCGATAGAAGCGCTACAATGAATTAGACAGGGAAAATTCTTACCAGAACAACGGCAACACTGTGATCCAGAACAAAGGCAGGGAACCACAACTAGTTTTTTTTCGACTTTGACATCTGGGTAAAATATCTCAAGAATTGAATCAAGAATGCCTTAGACGACTTCCTTGCTATTCGGCTGGGCAGCTTGGAATCGTGGGTGGATCATGGGGATGGATTCGCCACAGCTCTGGTGATCAAGGTCTACGACCTTAATTCACAACCAGAGTGAATAAACCATGGTGCACTCGGACACCCAGAATATGAATAGGCCAGGACAACAATCACTCCAACGCACCAATGCCACAGAAGTGCTCTCGTAAGGACTCCAATTTTCTTCATGAATAACCACACAACATAAGCAATACTGTTCAGCGAATCAGGGCGACCCTACAGCACTACAGATTTACTCACCATGAAATGATCCCCAGGGGCGCTTGGCGACGTGGCTATGCATCTGAACGGTCAAAGTTCCTATTCCATCGATTATATCTCAAAAGCGGCACTGAATACAGCGGAAAGTCGTCCAGATTTCATCGATTCGTCAGGCAGGATCGGCTGTATTAGAAGGTTCTTACGCGTCAGATGACTATCTAAACTTGGCAGTCTGTTTGTAGAGACCTCATCTGGGCTTGAATTAGGGGAACTGTGCACGTTGTTCCAGTTGGATCAGGTCCGCCACTGCAATCACAGACTCCTCCAGATCGGGTCCGTCAGTACCCAGGCAGTTCCTCGCGTTAGTTGCGGCTCAGCGAGGGTCATGCTGCAGCTCACAAATGTATCATTGCATGAATGGCTTCGCTCAGATCTTGTTTGTGTCGACAACCATCGCGTCGACGCTGAATGGCGGCTTTTTCCATGAATCCTCCGCCATTTGTACAGACTTTTGCTAGATTTCTAGTGGTATTTGAAGGCTTGAAACTTGATGACATACTATCAAGGGCTGAAAAAAAATAGTATATTGCTTAATAAATTAGTACTATTCTTTTGGCTGTAGAAAATGAGGGAATTGGTGAAAAGAATAAAAAATCAATGTTTGTATTAAGAAGATAGTATTAACTAAAAGCAATATAAGTCCTTATTTTTATGTCTTAGGTTCAATTAGTTGAAGATTGTAACTTTAATTTTATTTTACAAAGTGGGTTTTGAGCGTGATATACCTACAAGGTAAGTCAGACAGGAAGTCATGTCAGAAATTGATTTATAGGTTTACTTGACTATTTTTTTGGTTATAAAATATTAATAATTAACAAAGAGTCTTATTGAACCTTACAATTGACTATTGCTAACTTGTAAGAATTTTAAATTCTAAAAGATTAAATCCAAATTCCAAAATATAATTATGTTAAACAAAATCATAATATAAAACTTGCAAAACTATAATCATTTCTAAGAGTCTTGTTCAATTCTAGATTTAAAATTTTGAATGTTGAATAAAGTTTTAAACACTAATTTTAATTCTGAAAGATTTCATGTAAATATTTTTTAATTATATATTTGAAAAATTAAAAATTAAAAGAGTTAAGGCAGAAAAAATAACATCCATCCATAATTTAGTATTTATTATTTATAATAAGTATACACTATCATTTCCAATATTAATAATTACAATATTCAAAGCTTAGATACCTCTTTAATTAAAAATCAAAGCATCATAATAAATTTTTATAATTGCTAAGCTATTATATTTTTTGATGTAAAAATTATAACTACAAAAAATATCAAAAATTATATAAAATGTATTTTATCTTAAAAATTAAATTTTGATTTTGATTTTTTATTGTTTTTATTTTCTATAAGAAAACCACTAGATGGACACCTTTTTTTTTACTACATGGACATCCCTAGTGCCATGCTCCCCTTCATACACACCTCTGTAAAAATAACTAGTTTTGAATTTAAGTCATGATTCTTGGTATATTTATTTTCTTTAATATCAAAAATTTGATATTATCCATCTATATTTTATGGTTCTATGTTATTTCAGCCTTGATTTTTTTGTCCTTGCAAACTTTTGTCAAATCAAAATTTTAAATTATAAATACATCTTTTAAATTTGTTATAAATTACGTATTTTAAGATATTTATTAAAAAATACACCTAAACCCATTTAAAAAAATAAAAATACATTTAAATACAGATTTTTAGTACCTTAAAGCTATTCAAAAATTACAACTCCAAATTCTTATATTCTGATATTTATTTTAACAAAACATTATCCCTGTGGGGTCTTTATTATCACAAAATTATGTATACACAAATGTGGGTAAAATGGAAGCATCAAAAGGTACACATTTCTTTTCTCAAATAAACTTCAAAATGTAGAAATAATAAAAGTTATAAAGAATTTCAATGAGTTTTTGTTTTATATTAACTGGTATATTATTAAATAATTGATTATGAGGTTTGAATAAAGTTAAAGCATTATTACTTTTTAAAAGTAAAAAAGAAAAAAATATTCAAAAATAAATCAAATTAAATAATATTTTTAAGTAAATAAGAGTACTAAAACTCTGAAACAAAGATTGAATTACAATAAATAAATTAAAAATCAAAAAAGGAAAATTATTTAGAATATGCAAGTTAAAACAACAGATAATAAGTATTGTTGAAATATTATACAAAATTTAAATATAAAATTTCATATCTTGTATTGGATTTGAAACCTTTTTTTATAAAAATTCATTATACATGTAATTTTATGTTTGATTTCTTATTCTTATATAATTTTTTTCTTGAGTATAGCATTGTTTGTTTACCTATATGTATTTGTTGATGAATTTTGCATATATTTTAAACATATACAATGACAAATATACAACAAATGCCAATATTGTTGTTAGAATATTAAATGTATTTGTAGAGGCTTTTCTTGCTAATTAATGAGTACATTTTGTTTTACATATTAATATTTTCAAAGAAATTTTTATTTAGTATAGTATATATATATATATATATATATATATATATATTTAATTTATATTGTAAATATTATAGAATAGAAAAAATTATATAGTCTTTTTCTTAAGCTTCTATTATCCATCTATATTTATAGAAATAAATATAGAATTCAAAAAATATTCATATATAAATATATATATATATATATTTTTCAATAGTATTAGTACTATTTAATAAGTTATAGTAGATAGCTTGTTTCTAATAAAATAAAGTAGATAGGTATGTTTCTTCTACATACATAAAAGTATTATTAGCATGGTTCCAGTTTCTATTATAGTAAACTTCATCAAATATATTGTGCTAAATGTAATAGACATCTATCTATTGTATTCTATAAATGTAACATTTTATTAGATGTAATTGTACTTATAAATTTTGTAAGTTTTGAAATTATCTTTTTGATATTGTAATATAGTTTTTAGCTTTGAAGTACATAAATTTATAATATGACTTAAAACTTTGCATTTATAGGCTTCAATAATTGAAGACTTTTGCACGAATTGATAGAAATAGATGACAAATAAAGAGTATTATGTACCAAAACATATTCTTTTATACCAAGATAATTATTTAAATTCTTCCACAATGTTTTTGTTTAGAAACACATTAATTTTGTGCCTAGATCTTAAAAATTTCATTGTAACATGCATAATTTGTATTATATAATTATGTACTATAAACATTGTTAATATATATATATATATATATATATATATTTAAAAATACCGTGTGTGTTCAATCTACAATACTAAACTTTTATAGGACTCTATGATGTATCTTGGTTTCTAAATATTGCATGGTCTTTTATCTTCTCTATCACTTGATTGAAACTTTAGAAGATTATTCCCAATTCCTTGTAATTTTTTTCTTTATACTAGATATTGATTCCAAATAATAGGAAAGTTAACCTTTGACATGTGATATTTTGTATTACATATCTATAATAAAGAAGCGATAAGTTAAAAGAAATTGAGATGTTCTAATTTTTATGATTAATTACATAACGTTTTTTTGAAAGGTTTTTAAATTAATAAGTTTTAACAATATAATATATATATTTTTTATAAATATATACTTAAGAAAAAAATACATGTACTAAAAGAGTTTTAGAATTGGAATTCTTAAAGAATATGAAAAATCAATATGAATAATGGCTAATTTTTTTAATATTAAGATTATGATTCAAAACTATTCTAGCTTTAAAAAAAGATTGAATGCAAAAAAAGATGTGAAATGAAGAATAAAAAATAATAAGATGTAAACAATGAGAAAAATTTACAATGACAAGGACAATAGAATCATTCCACACTCAATATATTGTTGTTGAAGTTAAACACCAATGACAAAGATGCATGTACAGATAGGACAGTAGTTTCAGTATGTTACTATTGCAGTAATATGGCAATAACCAAACATGTATGTATAGTTATAGATAGGACAATGATATTTTAATTGTTTAAATGATTTGTGAAGATGATGTTATGGAGGTAAAGGATCCACTGAAGTACAACTTTGATATGACACTGCAGAGAGACATACGCTAAATACTAGCGAACTCACATAGTTACAATATTAAAAACAAGAACTACCGGCATCGAAGGCTGGTACCGTCATGTTGACGTGAGATGGCTCACATCTTCTGTGTCATAATGTCTTAGCATCGGGGATTCTAATAACTAAGCATTAACATAAAATGGAAAGATTCCGAAAAAAACACAAGACAATATGAGGTATATCTTCATACCCGCCACTCAATTAGGCAAGGATATTTGAAGCTCGTGCCTTCAACCAAATGCACGCACTTTGTCTTCTGAAGCCAACCATCACCTCCATAACATTTATATTATTAAGTATACTTCGTAGAAGAGAGAACACTATCTGCAACAAAAGTTCCTAGAGTCGAGCCAATTGGCGAGCAGCCTCCTCGCCAGGTGGTATCCAACAGGGTGTAATTTAATTATCATCACTCAACTGCTATGGGACGGCGAGGATGATATATACAGAAGTAAAGACGTTGTCTTGTCAAAAAGCATCTCTTCGTGTACACGATGCATTTCGAAGCAGAGGAGCTAATAACTCCAGAGGCCCAGATTTTGAACGAACAAGGCAGATCCTGTTACTACAAGGGCGGCAAAAATGGGTGGCACTGCGAAATCCATTCCTGATTTTCTGAACATGTTAGCAGGAACACAAAGACCATCCCGAGGACCATCAAGTGGCAATCGAAAACATTGTCGACAAGATGGCGAAGCTTTGTTACTTTGTAACGAGCACGCCTCGGCTATCTCAATATGAGGAGAAATGGCATTACTAAAACCCATCTCCAGGCTGAGTGCAGCTACAGTCACAGTTGCTGCAAGCACCAATGTCCAGAAAATAGTGTGTAGGAACAAAGTCCGGCTTGCCAACTTCCGCACAAAGAAGACCGCTGTCTGACAACAACACATGTTTCAGGATCACGGATAAGCGCACTGCAAAACTTGCATAGATCAAATGAACTGTACTTAATGTGAAGAACAGAAAACACAAAATATAAATCGAATTTTTTGTGCGACTGTAACAATATGCTTGTGCACGGTACTTTTCGTAGGTTTGAGCTTTTGCTTGAAACGAGTACAACGGATTACAAAAATACCTGACAATTCCGCCTTAGCATCACTGTAGGACCACATATATAATCGGCTACAAAGTTGTGTTGTTGAACAAAGGATATCATCCTATCAACTGTTCCTGGATATGGTAATGCCATGATACGCTTCCCTGTGACAACACAAGCAAGACATCTCAATAACTTCTGCAGAAACAAGAGCTTACCACTGGCGAATCCAAACCCTACAAGAGAATATGACTACACAAGGATTTTTCCAGTGCACTGGCTAGTGATCTGCACCTGCTTCTAAAAAAACTATTCTTCAACGATATTCAAACACTAAGCAGTGATAATAAATTACTTTAGAAAAACTTAACTTAAAACAAAAAGAGATAAAGACTCTCGCCGCAAGCAGAACACTAGACCTTGTTAATGGACATGCCACTCGAAAAACTTCTGGGTCTTTGTAGAGCCCCATGATTAAATAGACAGATATCTGCATTATTTAAACTAGGATAAAGAATTGGAGTATAGACCTTGAGAGGAACATTTATTTCAGTCATTCTTTCCAAATTCTCAAACGTGAGCTTTTCAAAATTAATAAAGATCCTCGCAAACAATAAAGAAGCCACGGAGAACTTCACCCCATACGCTTTCTCTAATACATAACTCAAAAGCATACCTGCTTTCTCAATCACAGCCACTCCTTTATGGCGATGACTATATCAGTTGTACATTTTTAAGTACAGCGAATTGTCAAGATACGTCGGAGGACCTACAATGTATCTCCAATATCATCAGCGTCTAATAAGTTCTTGCCACCCCATAAGGTATGGTACCTTCAACTGCTCATGGAGAACACATTTTATTAGAAAGGCGTAACCGCAGCATCAACATAACATAAGGATAGATACAAGAATTGCAATAATCAAGAAGGTAAGCCCAATCTACAAAACTCTCCACCACCGTCTGGTTTTCGATTTTTAATTAAAAAAACGCCTAAACTCTCGAAATGATAAATTGCTAGCTCAATATCATCCAATGACACACTACTCAACTTCACTACACTAAAATTCCAAAATAGACTTAAGATAGACACCTAGAGAAGCTCTAACCAAAATACAATTCAAGGAGACTAATAATTCTTCACGACGGTGTTCCAAAACCCTGGTTTATTGTAGCATATTGGAATACAAATAGCAAAAATGAGATTACAAGAAAATGGCAACCAAAACTCGTTCCAAAAAAGCACCAAATACAGTGGCAAGGCATAAGTAATTCATTACACGGAGCAAGCCGTGATAACCAAACACTGCACAACAAGAACTAATGAAGTGAATTCTGCGTACAAAAATAAAAATAAAGACAAACAAAAATTTCATAAACTCTATGTCCATGAGGAAGGGGTAAGGCCAAGAAAATGCAAAGGCTCGATTCCAAAGAAAAGCTCACTAAAACAACCAGGAAGGAAGACAGCTGTACTAATGCTGCCAAAAAGACACCAGAGTATCCACTTCGTAACGCCTGACTTAACAGGCTTCAGTCTCTACGTCGGCAGGAAACGCCTCCGCTTCACTTTCTCTACACACATCTTCACAATATTGCCGATAGGAAAGGACAAAAATCTCAATCAATTGATGAGAACTGAAAAATGTGACAGACGGTTAGAATGCCACGAACGAACCTGAAAACGGGAAACTAAGTACTGCACTGGACGGGGTGAAAGGGTGTCAAGCTAAAAACAGAAGAAATCGAAGGTAGTACCTCTGGCAAGAAAATGAACGCCAGGAAAGGACAGAATGGCCTGAAGACAATCCAAGGACACACAGTACCGTGTCAGGTACTCCTTGCACCTGAATGATACATAGCCAAAACCAGAACCAAACACATCGAGAAAACGTAAAAATAAAACTTCGAAGTTATGACTCGGCTCTCTGCTCTCACACACTTGAATCCTAAAATTCGAACTCTTCATACGATGACACTTTGGTTTCCTCGCCCGGAAAGTGCTGGCACGAACTCCAGTCATCCACGTTAACAATCCGAACTCTACTAAAATAATTCAAGAAGCAACCGCTCGCCTACCAGGGCCCCAAGACGCAAGTAAAGCTTCACGAGTTCAAAAACTAGAACAACTATAGCAATCAAATCCCGCTCAGAAAGAAAACGAAACCAGCATCGTTGCGTACATATATGTGCGTGTGTTTATATATATATAAACACACACATGAGCGCGAGCGCGCACGCTGAGAAAATTTAAATAGATAATTAATACGAAGTCCCGGAAAATTCGACAATCAATCACGCTTAACCCCCGCGACCTTGATAATGAAATTAAGCCTAACGCGAACCGCGACCTGTCACGAAAACTTAGAGCCTTACAGTGAGCTTTACCCGCTGCAGAGCGGAATGAAGCCGGCAACTCTGAATGTCCTCTCGAGAAGAACCTCGCTGAGCATTTAAAAGAAACGACGACGGCAAGGACCAGGCGTAGAGAAAATCGGACGTAAAAACGAGAGAGAGCGAGAGAGTGAGAGACACATAGATAGCTGTGGAGAAATTTGTATTTATTGAACAAGATGTGATTTGAGTAGCAACTAATAGATTTTTCTCATTTGCTTTAATGTTCGACTTTGTGCCAACACATGCATATTTATATTATGTGATTTGATGTAAAATGACATGTAGTATGATCAAGCATTCATGAACAAGTTTTTTTTAGAGATTTCAAAATAGTAAATGTGAGAACCAAATAAAAAATATACTTATATATATATATATATAAAGAGAGAGAGAGAGAGAGAGAATTTTAATTCATTATATATTTTTTGTGATGGAGGTGTTTATAATCAGAAGATAGTAATCCACATGTTTATGCATTCTTAAAACAAATTAAGCACCAATTCCGAATAAGATTTTCAAAATTTTAATAAAAAATCCAACCAAATTGATATTGTTAAAAATAAACACTGATACTGTAATCAGAACTTCTGAGTGAACCATTGACGTGCGGATTAAATCTTCAAATAAAATCAGTATGAATTCGTACATTCCGAAAATGATGTGTTTTTAACGTATTTCGTAAACCCCCCGAAGTTCCCAAGCTGCACAAGCAGGCCCCTTTTCGCTGCCACGTAGGATGAAAAGACACGTAGACTGCCAGCTAGGAATCTAAATGAGGTGACCGTGCGTGCACTACTTTCCATCCTACGTGGCAGTTTCATGCACGACACTAGCGTCGATCTGACCTGTCCAGATACAAACCGTCCCAACCCATACTCGTCGTTTAGATGTTTCATCCAGCTTCATCCACTTATTTCATTCGCTCGATGCTCGCTCCGTTGGAGTGAATCCGATTCTTAAGCATTGGTTTTCCCTCTTCCAAAATTGGATGACCATACACTTTGGTTTCTACTTAATATTATGTTGTTTGAGTATTTTTAAGGGTTACTTGTCCAAAATTGCAATCTTAAGAACTTACATTAGAGAGGCAAGGTTAGAAAATGTACCCAATTGGTACCATGGTAATTTTTCTTCTTCATTCATGAATGGATTTCAAGTAATTTTAACAAATGTTTTACATGCTTGTCCTTGTCCATATCCTCTTACTAAAATTAAAGCTTAGAGTTGAGGGGAGCAAAGGCCAAGGAAGCCTTGGCTAGTGTTGAGGAGGGATAAAACAAAAGAATAAGGAGAATCAATTAGGCAATATAGAGAAGGGCCAAAACACAGTATAAATTTACATTAATACTGTAAATATAATTGTTGAAGTTATGAAGTTACATAATAAATATGTATAAATGTTATCAAGATTAATATAAACAATGTGAGGTTAAATGCTAACTTCAACATTTAACCTCACATTGTTTATATTAATGTTGATTTTGCTTTGCCCATTGCTCATCGATAGTACATAAGTAGTGGGCGATGTAGAACCAAGACTAGTACTACATATTGTTGAAATCCATGTGCAAGAATAAAATGATTTGTTTGAGATACCATATAAGTATCTTCCTTATTAAATTGCATTGGAGGTATTAAAAAATGGATAAAGCAAAAGTTCAAAATATTTTAAATAAAATGAGCCTATGTGTGAAATTTCTAAAGAGTATTTCTTTTAAAAGAAGAAGGTAATAAGTTCGTTAATTTATTCTTAGTAATTTATCTTTAAAAGAAGATATTATTAGAACAATCTAATAACCGCTTTAAAATTCAAAAATTTAAGTGGATTTTGGAATGTTAGAATAAGTTTCAATCCACAAAAATAAAATTGGATTGGATGCACTCTTTCAGAAAATAATCTTCAACAAATTTTTCATCTTTGATGTTGTTTATTTAAAAAAAAATTAGAATACAAAGTGCTAATAATCTAACTACAGTATTCTATTAATTAAGATTTCAAAACTGATTAACTTTTAGCACTTGATAGGACAAATGGGCAATTAATGAAACACATCTTTTTAATCTCAAGCAATCAATCTAACAACTTAGATGGTGAAAGGATTTGGATTTTTAATACTATAAGAGCTATTCTCAAGATTTATGGTCTTTAAAGTCAAAGCAAGGATAAGAGTTCTACAAAAATAGATAAACTCTTTGTCTTTTTTAGAATTTTAAGAGATTATAGTTCATTCTTTTATGTCTTAGACTAAGAAATAAGAAATTTAAGGTTACTTAGTATTATGATACTATATTGTTTAAAAAATTAAGACTTATGCTATATTAATTAATTATTTATAAATATATAAATGGTTATATTAATGCATATAATTTACAAGTTATAAAAGAGAAAAAAGAGGTAATAACGGCTATTTGGTCATTGTAGATTATATTCATATTGAGACACTAAGAATTTAATCTTCTACGATAAAATACTTATTAATATAAAAAATAAAGAAAATATGTTTATAGGTGTATATAGTATTATATTTAGAATTTCAAAATAATATAATAAATTAAATGAAATAAATACATTGTATTGATATTTCTATAAGATAAGCTAATTATTTTATATTGTAGTATCTTATAATTTATTTATTGGCATCTATACAAAAAAAAATTAAATAGAATATATATTAAATGCATATAATGAATTTTCATTTTGTATTTATTTCATGAAATAAACTCACATGCCTACCAAATATTTTAAAAATAAATAATTTCCAACAAGTATGCACACACACACACACACACACATATATATATATATATATATATATATATAATGTATTTTTAATTTTTTTATATTGTAAATATGTAATGATAAATAAGATTGATACTGTTATAAAAATGACTAAGAACTTATTTGATAGCCAATGTCAAAAACACAACTAATTTACTTGATAATCAATTAAACCATGAAAAAATAAAATAAAGGAACACAAAAAAAAATGTATATATATATATATATATATATATATATATACATGTATATGCATACATATACATATTTATTTATATTTTTGTATGTTAAAATACATGTCACTTTATAAAGTTAACAAGAATCCACAAAAAGTTAAAAAAGACCAATTATACTCCTTAAACCAATTGTGTTTTACTCAAGCATCTAAACAATGTTGTCTATTGAACTTAATTTTTCTTTTTTCTTTTTTCTTTTTTTTTTTCAAAATAGAACCCTAAGAATTTTGTTTACTGTATGAATTTACTTTCTTTCCACAATTGTAGAAGATTTTTGAAAATCAAACAAATTTCTAGAAGGAACTAGAATCCAATGCCTATAATACTAACTCTTCCTTCTTTTTGCAATAAGTTTCTAAAAATCACCTGAAATTTTATTATTTTTTAGTTTATGAAAATGGTGTACTTGTCATACTATATATATATATATATATATATATACACACATACATATAATTAAGTACCTCTCTATTAGTGAATGTGTTTTCAATATCAATGATAATATCCGATCCTCTGATTAAAAGCCACAAATCATATGAAGTTTTTTACGCAAAGTGAAAAGAGTGAGGACATATTCACATAATGGAGATGAGGATTGCTTGTCAGATGGCAGTCTCATCAGTTGGAAATTTCCTGATATTGAGCGTGACAGTTTTTTTGTTCTTAAAACTCCACGCATTTTCTATTAAAATCTTGTAAAATGACCATTAAAACTAAGAATATTGACAACAAACTACCCATGTTTTTTGTTCAATACGTTCATACAATGTTGTTATTCTTCTGTAATTTTGTTGCTGTAAGTACAATTATATTATGTTATTAAAACCATTAAAAAGAAAATTCTATCACTTTGAATGTGTGGGTATTGACATATGATCCTGACCCGTCAAATGAAGACGATCACTTCAAGAATTTCTCAAGGGACATTCCAAGTCGAAGTCACTGCCTCTAGAGTTTGTTATGGGTTGCAAAAAGCCATGTGTGAAGCGTGAAGAGCAACAAAGGAGCTCACAGACTCATATGATATCCAAAGCACACCCACTACCAAAACCACCAAAGCTGCTGCAGTACACGGTGACCCAAACTAATCGATTGCAGTAACCTGCAGCACAATACCAGACAACATTCTACAGTACACGTTGAGCTTAGACTTGAGTGTAAGAATCAAAACAGCAGAACAAGAGGTCATTGTATCTAAACGGTAAATTCTTGAGCTGTAAGAACAGACAACACTTTGTGTGAAACCATGTGTCAGGTTTTAAAGGTGATCCAAAGATCGCCCAGTTGTGTGTTGAAAATTTACTACCCTGGACAGAATTGAGAAAGAGAGAACATGCAAAAAGTTCAAGCAGCTGCGAGAATTCGGTGGAACACCGGAAGTGACTGAAGAAGGGAGATGAAAGAACGAGAAGATGCACTAGAAAATTCATGTTTTGTATTTAAGCTTTAGGATCTATGCAGCGCGGGGATCCATTCCCATCTGCCAGACGTAGACGGACTCATCCCAGGCAGTGCTAGCCAATAAACCCTCCACCAAGACGCTCATGTCAATGCCTAAAGCGAACTCTGAGTGATGGTTCAGACGAGCGAGCAGGGCGTCCTCAGGCTGCCGGAAGTCCCACAAGCACACAGTCATGTCGTAGGAGCAAGATGCCATGAGGCTCTCCTGGTGGGGAGAGAACTTCACTCGCCGAACAGCATACGTGTGACCCAGCATTCGCGTCAATTCTTGACGTGGGTTACGAACGTCCCAAATCTTGATCGATTTATCCACCGAGCCTGATGCGAGCATGAACTCGTTGTACTTATTCCAATCGCATGTGAGGATCTCCATTTCGTGTCCAGGGATCACGTGGGTTGAGCGGGGTTGGCGCACGTCCCATATCCGGAGGGTGCAGTCACCAGAAGCGGACGCGAAAATATCCGCATGCCTTGGATTCCTGGACAAAACGAGTTTCGAGTTTGGTTGGAGTATAGAACTAAATGTTATTGATTCCCCCAATTTCTATCCGAGGTAAATTTTTTACTAGAACTGGTGTTGTATGGGTTATTATATGATAATGATATATTCCGTGTGTGAAAATATGGGAGCTTGTAAAAGCGCTTAATCATTGCACAAGAAGTTCAAAGTAGCACAAAGGTACATGATTAGAGGCAAACCAGCATGCGTTGTAGACACAATAAGAGTGCTCGGCGAACGTTCTCAGTGAGTGCGGTGCATCTGTGGTCCACAACTGCACTAGAATCCAATAATTGCCAACATTAGGGCCAGGTGTTTTGCATACACCCTAAAAATCGACACTTGACATGAAAATATGGTTGGTTACACTAGTGCAACATGGTGTTCGCGAATTTTTGACGCTCATATCCTAATGTCCAGTAGAAGATGCGATTTCCTAATGTTCAGAGGCATGAAGCAGATGTGATTGTCTCTGGACTTTAGGATATGACATTGGTACAACCGTCGACATCAATCCCCAGAATCCATCGAATGGACGCACAAACTTCAAGGTTACAAGACAGAATTAATCGTAATTACAAAATTAACTTCACACCCGACACAGGGCGATGTAGAATCATCAGAGAATATCAAGCTTCGGACATATCCCTGCATAGTACTTATAGGTAAATGTATAACGTGTATGATCAAACCATGTAATCATGGGGTCACATAACATCCAACGCAAACTGTCCCTAGTTACAGAGTCAAAGAATGAGACTTAGATGGGGAAAAGCTTACCCGAATAGTGTCATCCCATGAGCTACTCAAAAATGAATCCTTCCTAACCATGTTCCAATCCACCGAAGCCCTGCCCCACACCATAATAGATTCAGCTTAAATTCACAAGCATAAATCAGCAGAAAACAATAGCAAGGTTGAGAACGCACGTCTTCTGTCCCAGAGAATGAAGTGCCAGACCCCTGAATGTGGTAAATGCTTAGACTAGAAGGTGATGCTTATTACGAATAGTTACGGGAAGAGATACGACATACACTTCATGTGCATGCTCTTGACGATTGCTGACTGGGTTAGCCATTGGAGGAGCTGCCAAGTCCCAAACCTAAAATGAGCAAATAACGTCATGCAAAAGATAGTTAGAGATCCTACTGGCGACATTTAATAACTGATCAGCAACTAGACCACATATTTGATGAATAAAGTTCGATGAACTTTTTTACTTTTTGGTCCTAGTTGAAGGTCCACTTCAACGACTGCGGCTACGACTCATAGAAGTTCTGTAATATTAGTGACTATTTTAGAGCAAATCTAGCAAGTTGATAGTTGAATTAGCCCAGTCACGCTTACGACAAGGCGAGCAAGAGAAGGGATTTTCAACTACCTTGATGCTGCCGTCACCACTTGCTGATATTAGCACGTTTTCATTCTCCTGTTACATAGTCCAAATGTATCAAGTCATATTAAGTACGATGTCTCGTTGTAAGCACCGAAATTCAAATCTGCAAAATGTAAGGCAGATTTGAACGAAACAAGTTCTGCATCGGCAGAATATGATACTTCCTTCGACGTTAGAAAGAATAAAGTTCAAACTCCTAAGATAGACAAACCACAAGGAACAGACCCTTGACCTTTATGCAATTCACCAGGTAAGGTGGGAAAAGCCTACCTCAGACCATGCACAATCATATAGACCATCAGGAGTGTCAAACGCAGCAATTTGCACCATGCCATTAGGAGTCAGCTGCAGAAAATGAACATTATATTTAAAGCTCAGAAAAATGTGTATAAATAAGAAAGCTTGCCGTGCAACTTAGATATCCATCTTACAACTATCGATTATAAAAAGTGCAAATTGAACTCCTCAATTCAAGTATCGAAAGTACACGCAAGAGACTACTAATACTGTCTCGCTTTTATTGCCTGCAGGCAGAACTTATTATCGATTACCAGCGAAAAGTATTGAACATAAAAATACTGACATTAGAAACTTACATCAATTATATGCTGGCGGCCAGTTCCAACAATGCCAAAGTTCTCTGAAGTGGATACAGCTAGGCGATTCTCCAGAAAAGGGCTAAACTTTACCTGCAAACATCAATAACAAAAGCTCCTCCATCTCAAACTCAAAACAGCTGTCGTCTCAGTTACATAGATTGCTGATTTAATCGAAGATGTATAAAAGTCGATTAACATCATATCCTTCGAAGAAATGCAATAAGCCATCAGATGAGAACCGAATTCAAGAGAATTGAACACGCAATCATATCCACAGTAAGAGAATAAGCGTTAAACCCTACTGAGAGAGATATTATTTCAAAAGTAAGATCATGGTAGATGGTGCTTGACCAAAGAACTGAATTGTGGTGGCCTCACGGCAACAAATCCCCCCTAAAAGCAGACCCTATACTATTTCCAGCTCAATTCTTCATGTTACACAGAGAAATTTGTCCTCGTGAAGCAGTACAAATCCTGCCCAAAGCACCAATGCAACGAAAGCACTAAATTCTAGAAAACCAGGGGTTTAAGTCACCTAACTTGCACTCCACTCGCATTCACCGCATGCAGAGAACCCTTTCAACAGAGAAAAATTAGAATCTAAAAGGAATGCAGCCAAAATTAGGTCATTCACACAATGTTTCAATGACAAACCCTGCTGCTCACACGAAATTTGTCAAAAGTACTCTCGCAGGCTAAACTCATATACTAATTGTCTTTCCAATCCAAACTCGCTACTCTTTCATCGATTCCTCAAATTCTAAAAACTCTTCGAATTTTCCATCGCAATAAGACTCTCAACGCATGAACCCAATCCTCCCACAATTTCTGATATTGCCAATACTTTTGGCAAAAGACAAATTAAGAAGAAGCAGGGGCAAAACCCACAACGGAATTAGTACAACAATCAGCAAGGCTTACAGAGTATCCATTGAAGGCCGTCTTAAACACTGGCATCCTGACGACGCTCTTCCAATCCTAGGAGCTCCAGAGGCGCCACAGTCCTTCCTTCCTGCTTGTTTGCCCTCGATCTATGCCGCCTGTCCGGAGAGACTACCACCTCCGTGTTCAAGGATCTCGCACCCAAGCACGCGAACGATGCTTCTCGGTTGAGGAAACAACACACTTCGCCGATTCTATGTAAATTTATGCACACGGTGCCACTCGGATGTGGAATCCGCAGAAGCAAGAAGAGGAAGAAGGAGAAGAGCACAGTCGTCGGAACATTGTGGGACCCCGGCACACATACACCCCCCTCATTTATCATTCATCCTCCATTGGTTGACAGAATCATCCATTGGATGGACGTGGGACGCACTTCCGTGGATGAAGGATTTCTGACCGTTTGCGTTTCTTAGTAAAACGACACCAAATTGCACATCAACATGAATTCTGTCTTCTTTTTTTCTTCTTCTCATTTTTAATATTAGAAAGTGTTCAAAGTTTACACCGATTTTAAATAAATTGAAATAAAATATATTTAAAAATATATTTGATATATTTATATGTTTAAGTTTAGAATCATTGCCAAATAAATTGGATAATTTTACATCTTTTGTTTTACTTAATATATGGATGCTGAAGGTTGATATTATTTTTAAATAGGTAAAGAAATCTTATATCTTTGATTTCTCTCAAAATAAAAGAGTGCATAAACTTGAAGTGTTTATCTAATAGATTGAACTATCCTAAATCTTTGATTAATTTTATATGTTTGATTGCTCAAGATTGACATTGTTATCAAATGGATTAAACAAAATTACATCTTTGATTTTTTTAAATTTTAGAGCTTAAGGTTAATATCATTGCTAAATAAATTATATAATTTTACATCTTTGTTGGTGCTTGATATAAAAAAGTATCCAAATTTAACATTCAAGGCAAAAGACGACATGGACTAGGCTTTTATCGAGATAGATTCTATCTATTCTACATAATTTTAGTATTATCTAGCCTTTTTTAAATTTATATTTTTTATATCAAATACATAATTGTATAATATATAATTATCATAATTTTTAAAATCTAAGATTTGTTTATTTGTTTGTTTATTGTATGATACTCTTTGAAGTAATATAATATATAATTATTGTAGTCAAAGTTAATTATTTCTGGATTGAGCAAAGAATTGAAGGCTACAAATGGTATGTCAATTTTTTTTGGAAAGAAGCATGATAGACTAAAGAAAGACTTAGAGGAATTAAAGACCAAATTTCATTATATTGAGGCTAAGGTCAAATCAACTTATATAGAATAAACCAAAGTTGAGGTAAGTGATGTTTGTTATCTTATCCAATTGCTATGAGATGTTGGAAGTGTACATTACATAGAATATTAATGGCATTTTTTTAATCACATGATAATTATGTAAAGCTTATGGTTGATATGTTTTCTTCACTAATATATAAAATAATAACAACTAAAATGTTGAGAAGTGAATAAAAAGTGGAACATAAAGAAAACTCTAGAAGCCATTTTAATATAGAGAATGATTTTATCCTCTCAAATAGACTGTTAAGTGTGCTTTAAGTTAAAACTAAAAAAATCTTTGAATTAGAAGATGATCTTGTATAAAATGGTTTCAAAATGGTTTCAATGAAATAGAAGAAGAAGAAGAGGAGTGAAACAAGACTAAACTATCTCAAAAACCCAAGATCCTTCTAATCTACAACAACATAAAAGCCTCATCACAATATAAGACAAAACAAACCAGAACAAAATTGAACAAACTAAAATAGAACAGAACAAAGCTAAACAAAAAGATGCAAAACCAAATTTTATTAAGAGAAAGGGTCCAAAGCCATACTTGACTAGATGTTCCAAAATGCCATGGCTAGTCATATTTATATCTTGTCCTACTACCTTGGACTTTTTAGAATGTTTCTAGGTCATAGGCCCTATCTAAATAACCACTTTAAACTTCTTTTTTAGAGGATTTTATGGTAGGCCCTACTTAAATAACTATCCTAAATTCTTTCTAGAATATTCTATGATGGATCCTATTTGGTCCACTAACCTAATCTAAATTCTAAAAACTTCTATGGTTCTAACTATCTATATAATTATCTTATCTATATCCTGTTACAATTAATTCCTTCATACTAATGCAGAATGTCCTTGTTTTGCTCCTGATGGTATCTCTGAATTATTTCTTGATAATAAGTGAGGTTTTGTGCAGATTCCCACGTTGCATCGTGAATGGGATAACCTTTCCAAAAAACTTTGTACTGAAATTGTGGATGTCCGCTATGACAACAAAGATAGTGATGCTCCAAAATATTGTCCACTTCATATTCTTGTTCGTCATTAACTATAATTAGTAGTGGTGGTGATTATTATCGATCTAAAAAGTCCTTTGGCTTGATATGAAATTCCTTCAGTTGTAAGACATGGAAGATTAGATAGACCCAAATATGTGGCGAAAGCTCAAGGCAGTATGCAATATTAAAAATCATTACAAAAATGTAGAAAGGTCCAAGCCATTGAGGTGCTAGCTTATAGATTTGAATTAATGTAGCAAGTAGCAAGTTAGCATTAGGGAGTAACACTTGATCACCCTCCTAGAAGATCTTATGTTGCCGATGATTATCCACATACTGCTTCTGTCAATTCTATGTAGTAAGGAAGTGGTGGCATGCCTCTTATAAGGCCATTATAAGCCATTATAAAAATTCTTCTATTGCCATATTGTTGGTGTCGATGGAACGATAGAGAACTGCTGGTATAATTGGATTTTGATTAATATTAAGAAAAAATGGTGAATGATCAATACTTCCTGGAATACTATTATTGTAAGCAAATCCCAAAGGCATCAAATATTCATCCCAATCATTATGATGAACCACGACAATTGTCCATAGTATATCTTCTAAGGTTTGATTTGTACACTCTATTTGTGCATCTTTTTGGAAATAGAAGGTTGTAGATTTGACAAGTCATTTGTCCAATAGCTTGAATAAGTCTTGCCAAAAAATTTCTATGAAGCGTAGATCCCGATATGAAACAATGACATGAGGTAATCTATGGTCACAAAAAATAATATCAATTTAGACTTGTACAAACATTGAAGCATCAATATCTAAGTGCATTACATATAAGTGACGTTGCTTTAAGAGTTGATCCATAAAGATGGCAACTACAATATGATTATGAGATGTTTGTCGCAAACACATAATAAAATTCATAGTCATCTACTTCTAACGTGTCATAGGTAGCAAAATTGGTTACAATAATCTAAAAGACATTATATTGTATATTTTATTATATTAACATGACTCGCATAAATATACAAAGGCTTGAACATCATGATTCAAAGCTATTCAAAATCATGTCCTTGAGATCCATTCTAGAGTCTTCTCTCATCTCAATGTCACGGACATACTCATGTAAGCTAGTAATTACATATACAAATAGGTAGAAGTAAGTAAAAGTAAGTAAAAGTAAGTTAATTCTATAGTATTTAATATGGAAGCTTCTTAGAAGCTTCATAGATGCTGTTTTGACTTCATAGGTGTCTTTAATTGACTTTTTGGATTAGAAACGTGGTCAACAAGCTGGCCATGTGCCACACATGTTAGCTTGAAGATCAAGCTAACTATATGGCCCACACGTAGAAAAACTTACCTTGTAAGTCAAGGCATGTGTCTTACAAAGTCAACACATATTGGAGGTCCTATAGAACATCGCCACGTAGCCCCTAGTTAAATAGTATATATAGAGACAAGAGTGAAGCCTTCTTCATTCTTGTCAACTCCTTTCTTGCTTCTAGTCTAGTTTCAAGGGTCTCTAGTTTTCTTATCTTTTGGCAATAGCCATTCTAGTTTTTCTTTCAATATACATACTTATTTATTTATATTTTGTTACCTTTCTTTTAGTGAAGGCTCACTTGTCTGGATTGTTTTTTCATCGAATTCTTGTCCTTGACAGATTGACAAGAGTACACCTACAATATCAGAGCTTTGTCTAATCTTAATAAAGAGTGGATTACCCCTTTTTTTTGATAAGATATAAGCATATTAGAAGTTGCGGATTACCCTCTTCTAAACTGATATTGTCTTTAGTATTTTCTTTGTTCTCAAGTCCTCTCTTCTATTTGTCTTCAGCGATATTAGACATCTTTTCTTTTCTAAGTGTTATCATAGTAGAACTTGTTGAAATGAAGAATGCAATGGCACAAATGCAAGAGCAATTGAGAGAGTTAATGCTTGCGATGTATCAACTCAATTTACCACCACAAGGAGCAATAAGATTGGCACGAAGTGAAGATATAGAAATGGTTGGAGCTGCTTCAACATCTGTACCAAACCATGTCCTTTCTCCTATGGTGGAACGTCCTTCCAGTGTTAGAGAACCAAGAATTATCCTACCCGAGAAGTTTGATGGCACCAGATCCAAGTTTCGAGGATTCATTAATTAAGTGCAACTTGTGATTGAACTTCAACCCCAAAGCTATCCAACTCCAGGATCATAAGTTAGATTCATTGATACGCTTCTTTCAGGTTCAGCACTATCATGGTTTTCATCTTTTCTTGAACGACGAGATCTAATATTGGATAATCTAGAGGCTTTTTTAGCGGAGTTTCCATCCATGTATGGAGAACATGATGCAATTCGTGTTGCAACCAATAAGATCCGTATTTTATGACAAGGCAATCGATCAGTAACGTTATACGCTTCACAATTTCGACAACTTCACAATTTCGACAACTTGCAACTAATATCAAGTGGGATGATGCTGCACTTATTAGTCAATTTCTCTACGGATTACAATATGAGGTAAAAAAATTAATGCTCAACTTACCTGATCCTCAAACATTGAGTCAAGCAATTGACTTTGCTGTGAAGTGAGACAATCACCTTTTTGAATTTCGATCTGAGAACTGTACAAGTGGACCTCAACGTTACTATAATTCAATGGCAACACCAACACCTCTTTAACACATACATTCGGAAGTAGAAGATATGCAAATTGATGCAGCACGTTTCAAACCTCTTATTGAGCAAGAAAAGACTCGTCATTGTCAAGAAGGATTATGTTTATATTGTAGAGAATCAAAGCACACTGCTCAACATTGTCCAAAAAAATGACGCAATCACAAAATGAGGAGTATGGTTGTAAAAGAAGACAATATGTTGGAAAACAAGTTTGTCCAGCTACAATAGGGACTGTGCGGCTGGAACCTTGCACAACATCTAGTAAAGGTCCTATTCTC